AACACTAAAGAGAACAGGCCCTTAGTTGTAAACTTCTTCACTATTGTTGGATTGTTCAGAGCCTAACCATAGCATACATATACAATTATCCTCTCGACCATGAATCAACGTAATTGGGTATTCCATAAGTGTATTAGGCGACCCTAATATTCCTACTGTATAAAGGACTTTAAGGAGTCTGCTGTTGTGCGTGTAAAGGAAAAATCCATTGTGGTGAAAACCTGCTCTGTGTACAGGGTTTTTATATCGAGATTTAACCACTACAAATCTCTGCAGTCCCTTTAATCATTTTTATTTTCATGGTGCTATTGTAATTTGGCAATGTGGAATTATACCATACTGAATAGTATTAAATAAGAAAAAGTTCATAATATGGTATATTACACTGTTTGGTAATGGTCTGAATGCTAAGTATCAAACTCGCACAAGATCATTACAGTTATCCTAAAGATGCTTAATTTTTCTCAAAATGCTGCTAGTTATATGGACATGTCACTTGCGACCATTATGCTCATGATTTTTTTAATTCTTTTCTGGATTGAAATACAGGATCACAGCAATTTCCCTCACTTATTGCTCCACCTACAGTAGTTCCAGATTCATTATTTGCACCGGCCCCCTCACCTTCTGAGTCTGGTGGTTTTCCAACGACGACACCAAAGCCTTCTGTGGTGCCTTCCTCTGGTTCAGGTATAGGATTTCCACCCGCAAATGGACCAGCTGGAAGTGCCTTGGGTTCCTCTGATGCTTGTTCCTTGATGAACAATTTATCTAGTTTTTCAGCCATGCTTACTTTAGGTCTGGTTTTCAAGTTTATAATGTCGATTCCATTGTAATTTCTTCAGTTTTGGTGAACGATTGGACCTTGTTTTGCTCGGTTTGTACTTTCTCTAAGGTCCTAACACTTCGTGTTGTATTTAAACAATTTATTGCTGTCATTGCACAGTTTTTAATGCTGCCAACTGATGATTGCTAATTATTCTTTCTTCATGTTAGTTTTTCTGAACTAGGCAATTATTTTCAGCGGTGAACACTTCTTCATGGTCTTTATCCGCGTTTATCCTGTTCTAATTATTCTCGCTCTTACGTGATTCTATGACAAATGTGCTGGTTTCTCTTCGAACTACTGATGTTTTGAACAGAGAATAAAAGAAAGTAGAATGATTAAGAGTTGATATAAATACGAGTACACACGCATAGTGGGGTGGAGAAGGGGGGACGGTGCTAAAGTTTTCACAGCTCTTGCTGTAGAGAATTGATACGAGGAATATGGGATTTTCCTGTAGTTTCAAATTTGTCATTATAAACGTCGGCTGACGTTTTTATGTCCACCACAGGCAATTCTTGGGCCTTGCCTTCATGGTATGTTAACATATCAGAGGTTGTCTTCTCTTTGCTTTTACCCCACACCACCGAGTAAAGTCCGAATACTATGACGATTGCTCCAATTAAGCTGCAATTACATTCACAAAAAGGGCATCAGTTAGATTGTTCAACGCGAACCCAACTCACCAGTTAGCTCCGGGTCAGGTTCTAGTGGTTCTAGGAAAAAATGTCGACCCCTATTCCTAGGGCATGTGTATATGCTTTGCTCAAGCATATTAGACGTGCTAGACTCGAAAAAAAAATGAATTTGACCAGAGTATATACCTCCCAAGGTGAA